GTAAGTACCTGATCCTTCTTAGACCATTGTCTCTTTTTTTCAGGGATGCTAAGAATGCTGTCTTCCAGGCATTTCTATAGGAATTCAGGGAGAGAATTTGTGCCAAGTGTATCAGATGGAGGTTGACTCATGGTTTTAGTGTTAGTGCTAGGTTTCAGTAGCTGAAACACATTTGAGAGACCTCAGCAGTACTGAAGTTCAGGTGGTAGCACATCCCCTTCTGTACTATGCCACTGTCTTTCCTCTTCCATTCATTAGTGATTGGAGATTTTGATTGGTAAGTTACCCAAACTTGATCTCAGGGGGCCACTTTTACTGCCTCGGTTGCTGCCAATCTCTTAACCCTCACACACATTCATTCACAAGCCTCTGTTGATTACACCTGGTCTCTGCCTCTGCATTAGTACTTGATTATTACTAATTAATCCCACACTGATTACTCCAGAACCCTCTTCACTGCCCCCCTTAATTCCAGTGTCACCCCTTCCAACTCAGGTCTAATTCTAACCAGATGATCACTTTCTTGCTCAGTCTTTTGGTTGCTTATTATTTTTCATAAATCACCATCACCTTCCTCACAAAAGCAAAAGTACCTGACTGTTCCCCAAACATCCAACAGACTCCTGGCATCTCAGGGAATGCACAAACTCTGAATTAGAATTGTTTGTTCATGGCTCCTGGAGGGTCACATTTACCCTTCTAATTTGAACCCAAACCCTCTTTGTTTGGAACCTTTTCTTTATTCAGGACTGACCTAGCTGCCCCTCTTCCATGTTCATATAACACCTTTGCTTACAAGATCATAGTATAGTTTTGTTTCATAACTGTCTCCCCCAACAGCATGCGAACGTCTTGAAGAAGGGATTGTATCTTACTTGCCTTTTTCTTGATCTTATTAAAAAAAAAACAAACTGGAAGCCAGCTGTTGGTGGCGCACGCCTTTAGTCCCGGCACTTGGGAGACAGAGGCAGGCAGATATCTTGAGTTTGAGGCCAGTCTACAGAGGGAGTTCCGGGACAGCCAGAGCTACACAGAGAAACCTTGTCTCAAAAACGCCAAACCGAACCAAAACCAAACCAAACCCATGCATTTAAAAATAATCAAAAAGAATTGGTGAGATGGGGGGGGGGCTGGAGGGACAAATGATAGACAATGATGATGAGTGAGTACTTGGATAGATGGATAGTTGAATGAACAGAGAGATGGATGGATATAATGGTTGACGAAATGGGCCAGTTCAGCAGTGGTCAAAACTTGTGATCATGTTACATGCCCAGAGAAATGCAAGAATGTCTGTAACAGCCAAACAAATACAAGGCCGTATTTTTTAAAGATTCACAGTTGGCGTTGAAAAACCATGACTACAACTCAACAACTAGTGGGCTTTTGACCTTGATCCATAAGAAAGCTCAGAGGTGCTTCTGATCAGAGAAGAAAGGGGACACATGTGTGTACCCCATGCTAGTTTAGCCTGGCTGCCTCCTGCTGACCCCCTGCATCAGTTCTGGCCTCATCCAGCTCCATTCAGCTCCATGTTCAGCCCCCACAGTTCACTGTGGCTAGAGATTGCCACCTCCCGTGCCAGATTCACATCAAAGCAGGTGGCCAATAGTCACCATCTGCAGCTTTCTGGAGAACAGCTTGTTTCTCTCCCTTCGATACTCAAGAACTCTGATAAGTGGCCCCCTTGCTTGAAGTTTCAGTTTCTTTCAAACCAAGTTAGTGCTCCCACAGAGAGCTTTGAGAGGGAAGACCAATTGTTTCCCCAAGGAAAAGGGAGTAAGTCTTAGAGTGACCCTGAAATACAATATTACACTTCTGATATGGAGAACTGGCATGTGACCCAAACAAGAGGCAGTGGAAAGGCCCTGGGGCTACTGGGATGAGAGCCCAGCCCGGCCGCCAAGAATCCCCCTTTAGGGCTTGAGAAGCAGTCGGCAAAGCACAATTGGCTAAATTTGGTTGTGTTTTTATTTTTGTCCAGCCATAAATACCGGCAAAGAAATAAAAGCTATTCCTTCCCTTCTGGGAGCCTCAGAGCCAAGCTGGCTTTATTTTTAACTGCGGCTCTGGTCTAAGTCTTCACCCTGTTCACCATTGTAAGAGGTGGACTTTGGGGGTTTTGCCTAGACCTGATTGTTAGGTGTCTGAATGGACTTCTTACCAGACTTAATGCAAGGGTGGTTCCAGACAGACCCAAAGAGAGACCCAATTCTCACCTGAAGAGCACCAAGAGAGTCCTTTTCAGGAAGGGCACTGCTCTCAGAGCAGGTCAGTGTCTGGTTGGGGTGGAGGAAGTGGCAATCCTAGATGAAAAGAAGCAGGAAAAAGTGAAGAAAGGGAAAAGGCCAGGGCACTTTTGTTCTGCGAAGGCTTTGAGCGCTCTGGTTCAGGCCCTGGAGCCAGCTGACTGTCCAGACCCTGCTACAGCACCCCTGAGAGATGCGGTGGCCTCCATCTGGCCTGGATCCCTGGCTTTGAATCCATTATGTAAGAGACAGGGACAATAACAACCCAGGCCTTAAGCTCTGCTGTGAGAGTCTGCCAGGGCAGCCAGCATGAAGCCCAGTGCTTGGTATGAGGGCAGCAGGTGGGATCAGCCATCATTGTCACCAAGGCCATCATGTGACACCCTGCCCTTCCACATGCAGTAGGCCCATTCTCCCTGGAGCCCAGAGTAGAGTTATTTTGCAGTTGGAAAACCAAGAGTCAAAGGATTTGGTAACTTGTCCTCAGATGAGTATAATCAATCAAACCTGAACCCAGCGCTGGGTAGCCCCAGTCCTAACACCACACCTTCTGTGGGACCAGTGACTTCTGCGTGCTATGAAGGAACTTAGCACTGACCACATAGGAACTACTTTAAGCAGGGTTCTGGTTTTCTCTACCTTGGGCTCCCCAGTCTCATGACAGGAGCCTGCAAAGAGAATACTGGAAGTGATTTTCTTTTCTTTCTCTCTCTATTTTAAAGCAGAAAGAAAACTCATGGAGACAGAATGCAGAATGGTGTCTAACAGAGCCTGTTAAAAGGGAAAGCTGGCGAGCTGTTAAATGGATAGACTTAACTGTGTGTGACAAACGTGTCCTGAAGATTAGTCCTACAACCAGGAGGGCCACACTACTGTGCTTCATGCCCCTGAGCTGTGTGCTTAGAAACTAAGAAGGCAGCTAATTTCGTGTTGTAAGATTTTAGCATCATTTTTAAGCAATTAGAAAGAATGATCACATGTACTGGAGTCAGACCATTGTAGAGGCAGGCTGCAGGTTGGAGCGTTTCTTGTCCAGCTTCCCAGTCTTTTTGTTCCTTCCTCGCTTGAATCAGAAGCCTCCTCAGCAGCATCCCCAGTCCCACCCCACATGGCACAGACTCTGTGAGAGCAGAGCTGCACGCTTTTTGAAAGGTGCTTATTAGGCGACATCGTAAATGCTTCTCTTCTTCATGCTTGGCCCGTTCTGACCTCCTTCAAGTCCCTGGTTCCACTGAAGCATTTATCTATAGGATGAAAGAAGGAAATAGTAGGCAAGCCTCCCTTACAGAGTATTATTTTCTTGGAGTACACATAGGGGAAGGACCGGGCTTAGGCTTCACTTCTGAGAAGTTGGGTGCAAATCCTGCTTTTTTTCTCCTCCATTTGCCTAGCTCTAACATGGGGCTAACAGTTATTCCCTGTAACTGCTTTTCACCTCTGTGAGCAGATGCAATGCAAACCAGTATGGAAACTAGCTAGGAACAGGGCCCCCTCTGGCTTGATTACCTCAAGATAGCAGCCCTCATCGACATCACAACAGGGGCTTGGTGTCCCTTGGGGACCTCTGTGGCCCTTTCTGTGAGCATTTAGTATCATTGGTGCCCAGGAGACTCTTGAGCTATTTTCTGTGTTCATCACTTTTGAGCCACTGTGACCACAATAAAGGAAGGAAAGACTGCTTTATTTGGCTCTTTCTTTCGAGTTTCGGTGCATCATGGCAGGAAGCTTACTTGGTGACAGGAGGAATTGTGATGAAGGCAGTTTATACCATGGTGGACCAGAAAACAGAATATTGGAGCCTCCAAAGGGCGTTTACTAAATGATATATTACTGACTGCCAGACCCCACCCTCTAAAGGTTCTACAGAATCTCCAACTAGCCCTGATACCCAGAGAACCAAGCATGAGCCTCTCCGGAACATAGCAGGTTCAGATCTTAATAGCTCTGTTGGCAATTGCCCAGTATAGTCATCTCTATAGGGCTGTCTGGGTTTAACTGTGAGCTATTCTTTGTGCCCAGAGTTTGGGTCAGTTTTTCTATTAGCTGCATTGAGGAAAACCTACCATTTTCACAACCCATAAATATCTCTCAACTGTTTTTAGCTTAGAAGAAAACAAACATTTAGGCTGAAATAAATGCTTTCTAATAGATGTATAGCATACTTATCTTTATACTTGCAAGAATATGATATGTAAAAAATCTCTTATGGACAAAGCAGCCCAGAAAAGGCCAAAGGACCAAAAACCCATGAATGTCACGATGTAGCCCTGCTATGCCCCCGTGGCAGAGACTGGTTTTCGGTCCCTCAACCCGTACTGATCTGACTTGCCCCCTTTTCAGTTCCTATGGCAACTGCCACTTGCTCCCCTCCCTGCCATTATTTAAGACTTGGTACATTTTGTCTGATATTTAATTTATGCTGTGAAAAGCTTGAAAGTATTGTCTAGAGTTCATGGGAAAGAAGGTTGTCACCAATGAGTGATGTCTGTCCTATACTTGTGACTGAGGAGGGGAGGCACAGCCAATGTGTTCAGTTTGTACCTATGACCGATACAGATTCCTCTTTCCAACCTGACTACAAACTCTTGCTATAATGGTATATATGCCTTACATGTGTTGAGCCCATGCTGAAAGATCTAGAAAGTCTCTTAATTCCTGGTGATGGACTGGCTGATCAAAGCAATGTCTGTGTATATACTCTCTGTACTTGATATCCCTTTGACATCTTTTCATTCATCTTTTCCTCACCAGACGTCTGAACAAGAACAAGCTCCAGGTCCTTCCAGAGTTGCTTTTCCAGAGCACACCAAAGCTCACCAGACTGTGAGTAGCATTCATGTGTATTCGCTATCTTGTATCTCACCTGGCTTTGGTCTCATGGGCACTGTGGTTGTTGCGGTTATGGTACCCATGCCATATGGAGCTTCAGAGCAAAGTCTGCCTTCTTGCTCCTTCTGTCAGAGCCGGGTGGCTTTATTGACCAATGAAGACCAGCAGTGTGTGGTGATGGGTTGTTTTCCCTTGCAAAGAGGGAGGAAGGAGATTCTTCCACTGGGTCTGAAATTGCTGCATGGAATTTCCCTGAGAGGGTTTGGGGTGACTTTATTCATCAGAAGCAGCCTGTGTGGGTTCTTAATATCAGTCTGAACTAAGCTCACTTCCTTGCTGGTTGGAACAGTCCCTGCCTATTGCTCACTTCTTACTATTGACGGCCCAGGGTCTGCATATCTATGGTTTGATGGAAAAAAAATAAGTAAAATTTGATTTTTGCATTATTTTCCAGAATGGTTTGAGTGTATATATTCATTATGACAGTCTAGAAGCTTGAGAGCTTGAGGTCCAGATTGAGGTAGAGACTGTGACTTATGGATAATGGGTGTTCTCTGCAAGGACTAGTTCTTGATGGTGAACTTGAAATCCTGCTGGCAGTGGATGATGGGTGAACTATGCTGCCCAAGGGCGCTCTGAATGGAACAGCACTGTGTCTGACAAGCAAAGTCATAGCCTGACTCAGAAGACACTGGCATTACTGGGGTGGCTCCCATGCCATGACTCCAATCTCCTTCCCCTTGGCTGGGTTTAATGCCTACTTATGCAATCAAACCATGCATGTAGACTGGAATAAACTGGAAAATAGGAAACATATGTCACTGTGTGCACTTAAGCCCTGAATTAGGAATACATGCTTATGGATGTGCGTGTGTATAAACACACACACACACACACACACACACACACACACACACACACACACCGTACATGTAAATACATTTGCAAAGAGCAAGAAGAATGGTCCTGGGCAGGCTGGCTTTCAGCAGATCAGTGGTCCTGTTAGATTTCCACAGGACAGGCCAGTACTTGTCATGGTCTCTTCTTTGAGTGCACCCCCTGCCTTTGGTTCTCTTGTTCACCTAGTTAGCTGACTTTGCTGAAAGTAAGAAAGGACATGACCTCCCTTTCCATTCCTCCAATCTGCATCTGGCTGGACGGGCACATGGCTGGAGGAAATGCACAGCCTGGCTGTCTAACAGAACTCAACAAGCAGTGGATCCACTGCAACCACCCTGATTTTTAACGTCTGCATTCCCTGCACAATCCTCATTCAGTATCCTTGGAGCTTTGACCCCCAGACTCTGATGGGTAACTAAATCCTCAGCTTCCTGAGACCCTTATATAAAGTTGGGAAGTATTTGTATCTAAATAACTGTGCACTTGTGCACACCTTCCCATATCCCTTAGGTCGTTTCTTAGATTTGTCATTCTTCCTTTTTGTTTTTTTTGTTTGTTTGTTTTTGTTTTTGGTGGGGATAGGGGTTTGAGACAGGGTTTCTGTGTGAAACAGTCCTGACTGTCCTAGAATTCATGACTGCCCGGCTTAGATTTGTCATTCTTAACAGAATGGAAATTATATATAGTGGGTGTATTGGATGTGTTAGAAATGCTGACCAGGTAGGTTTGGGCATGCTCAGTGGAGGTAGTTTTCTCTCTAGCATTTCTAATCTAGATGGTTTACCCCACAGAGGAGGGACTAGCAGAAACTCACTGAGTGGCCGTGTGTCCCCCACAGGACTTCATTGCCACTTTATCACTCTACTTTTACCAATAACCGCAGGCATGTGCCTTTCTCCCGGAATCTCAGCGTTGGTCTCTGGGTGGAAGAAGGCTCTGGGGGCTGCAGATGCTGGTGGCTTTGCGGGAGTGGAATCGGGATCTGAGGACTCAATTGCTTTAGGTGTCAGCTGGGTTGCTTTCCTAGTCACAGATGTCTCCCTCAAACCACCAGGCAATGCCAGTTTTGTGCCAAGAGTGCGAAGCCAGACAGAGAAGTTTCAGGGGTTGTTAACCAGTGTCTGGGATGCTGGCTGTAAGGCCCAGAGCTGGAACGCACTGGTTATGAATTAATGGCCCTTTTCTAATGGAGTTTGGAGAGCCCCTTTCTTTCCTGTGCCTAACTGTCTTCATCAGTAAATGAGCTGCCTCTCCCCCTCCCCCAGCCTCTCAGGGCAACTGTGAGCATCCAGTGAGATGATGGTATGTATAGCTATGTGCTTTCTCGGGTTGAGAGCGCTGGGAAAGTTGAAGGGCTAGAATACCTATAGTTGCCTCTACAGTTTTATTCTTTACAACCTCAGCTTCGGGAGCAGGGGGATGTCTGAAGTTGCAGTGGGCATTGAGATAAATTATACCAAGCTTTTGCTTCAAGCCAGAGAGCTGCAGCTGCAAAGGCAGGAACAATGTTCAACTCATCTGGTGACCATCCTTCTGGGAGTCTTTGGCCAGGCACAAAGACTGGCACAGATAGGCACTCAGACAATGATGGCTGTCTGAGTAAGTTGATACGTGAATGATATGGGCCCAACCGTACAAAAAGTGCTCTCTGAGAGGTTTGACTCTTATTTACCATTCATTCATCCATTCATTCATTCAGTATGCTTCCTTTGGTTGCCTATTATAGCCTAGTCCTTGGCTCTGAGGACAGAGCAGGAGATGTGAAGGATACTTAGCTCCTTCCATACCCAATCCTGACACATTCTGACTGACTGCCAAAGGCTGAGAGCCAAATATATAAATATATTTTAAATCGAAGCAACTATATTAATCCAGGTTGGAGTGCTAATCAGCCATTGCTTTTTCTCTTTGGGCTTGATCTTTGATTTTTCTTAATGGCCCCATTATGTCTTTGTCTTATTTTGTCAGCCACTCCAGGGCCTTTTTGGAAGTAAGCAGGGTACAAATTAGAAAATCAATAAATGTGCAATCATGGGTGTGTATACATACGCTGTCCGCTCTGTTAGCAAAGAGCTCTGCCTCTCAGGAGACACGGTGAGCCAGTTCCCTGGGGAGACAGACTGGTCATGGACCCTGCAGCTGACTGGTCTGTAGCAGGCCATGTGAGATGGCAGCACTTCTGGGCATTGCTCTTACTATTTTCTTCACTCCGGTGTTCATCTTGAGGATCTTTTCATGACTCTTTTGAGAATTTCATACTTGCCTCCAGTGTATTTGGTCACACTCAGCCACTCTCCCTCCTAGCTCCTCCCAGATCCACCCACTTCTCCCAACTTCAAGTCTTTAATTTTTTAGTAGGTTAACCATTCTTGTCCCTGTGACTGAATACATGACTAGAAGCAGCTTAGAGGAAGAAACTTTTATTTTGACTTACAGTTTAAGGGAAGGTGCGGTGACAGGAGCAAGAGGCTGCTGGCCCCATTGCATCCACAGCTCTGAAGTAGACAGCAGACAGGAAAGCGGACTATGCTGTGTAAACCTCAGTTCCTACCCCACCCCAGTGACTCCCCTCCTTAAGTGAAGCTCCACCTCCTAAAGGTTCCATAACCTTCAGTTGAGACTAAGTATTTAAAAATCTGTGCCTATAGAGGACATTTCACATTCAAACAACAACATGTGTCTTCTGTAAAGGCTGTGGTGGTGGCAGGAGACATATTTGAAGTGCTGATGTCAAAGAGAAGTCATAGCCTGTGCTCTGTTATAGCACTTCCGACTAATAAGGACCAGAAATGAGACTAGAGCCAGTTGAATACAGAGGAAATCTATCAGGCCTTGTAACTGAGAAGCCAGTGGTTGCAAAGACTTCAGGGGTCAACTGGAGTAAGGGCCTAGGAGATATAGCATTAGGACTTCATGTTACATCCCTTGGACCAGTGGACACAATGCTAAATCAAAGCAGAAAACTCACAGTATGCTAATTTTGCAGCCCCAGGGTACCCCCAGGGGCAAAGGACTGAGGAGAGCTTGGCTCTGCAGCTTGTGCACAGGGATTGTCTAAGCAGATGATCACTGCTAACGTGACAGTGTCCTCCGATCAAACCAAGTGTGGTCACATGTTCATCCTACTTGTTTGAACAATAGGTTCTCCCACAGAAAGTGATTGTATGAGAAGACACAGTAAGTAATGCCGGTTGTCAACAGTAGATGTCAACAAGTTTATTGTGCATCTACTCCACACAATGAGTGTTTCAGATCCTTGCAATAATGCTTTAAGATAATAGCACCAGGAAGCCCGGAGTGCCAGGTGCTGTTCTGAGCACTTTACATCTGTGAGATTTTTTGGTTGTCCTGACAACTCTGCAGGATAGGTGTTGGGATTTGTACCGTGGTTAGTGTTGTTCTGTGAGAGTGAAGCAGAGGCTCACTGGGCTTGACGAGCTTGCCTGACGTGGTTCTGGCAGCATCCAGACCTAACTCTGGGTAACTCCAGTCCAGACAGTGCTTTTCTCCATCGCCTCCAGTGTGTTCCTAAGCCGCCTTTACTTTCAGTGAGGCCAAATGACTTCTCCATAAATCCCATAAATTTAAGTGGTAGTCCCTTCTGAGAGCTTGGCCTCGGTCTTCAGCTTCAATCTTCACACCAATATTGCCCACAAACCAACTTTAAATCTACTTCTAAACCCCGGAAAGTGGAAAGTATGCTAGCTTTCCATCCCTGTAGCAACAGACTGACATCATTAATTTATAAAGAGAAGATCTCTTTAAGCTAAGCTTTGGCGATTCTAATCCATGACAGAGCGGCCTCATTATTTTGGACCTGTGACAGGTCAGCGGGCCATGTGTGGAGCACATGGATGAGCACAACCTCATAGAGGAGTCAGGGAGAAAGAGGGACAACAGTGGAATGGGGTCTGTACTGTCTACTTGACTCCAGCTAGAGTTATTTAAAAAGAGAGAACCTCAATTGAGAAAATGCCTCCAAAGATCTAGCTGTATGGCATGTTCTTAATTAGTGATTAAGGTCAGCCCACTGTGGGTGGTGCCAGCCCTAGGCTGGTGGTCCTGGGTTCTATAAGAAATCAAGCTGAGCAAGC